GCACTTGTTACTAGAAGCGATGCACTTGTTCCTAGTAGCTTATTGTTTCTATTCTTCGAGTTTTGTTACTTTTTGGTTTCAACACCCGAATAGGACCAATTAAAAACCCTTTGGTCAAAGTGATCCGCATATGAGATATGTTGAGGATTAAACGCTCTTAAAGTACAAGCGTATGTATTAATTAGTCCGTATGTAGATTACGCCATCATTTTTTTTTATATAGTAAGTACATCGTCTATCTTCATAAGTGCATTTGCTTCATCACTGTATTACAGCAGAAGCCTGGCGGAAGCCGGTCGGCCTGGCGGCGCCTGGAGGTGCTCCCCAGCGTCCCGGCGCCGGTGCAGAGCCTCTTGGGCACCGATGTGACCTCCGAGTTGGTTCGCATGCGCCAGGCGGTGGAGGCCGTGGAAACAACGGCGAGTCGGTCAGTGGAGTGGTTGGGATTCATGAGAGGAAGAACGAGGGGGAAAAACAGAAGGTGAGCGGGGGGCCTCTTCAATAAGGCCTCCCAAAAGAGAGGCCTTCTTGAAGAGGCTTCGTCCCTTCCCTTTTTTCATCCTTTTTACTGTTTTTCCTATGTGTAAGACCTCTAAGACCTCTAAGACCTCGAACGGTGTTGAGACCTTGACACCGACTTTGGGCAGTGCACCCATGTTCCCCTCTTCTATCCTATTCGGACTGACCAATTCGTCAGAAGACTGCGGGATGCGAACTGGGGTCTATATAAAGGTTTCGGGTGCCCGTGCAGCACGTCACACGATTCACATTGATTCACATCAATCGTCCAATGACTTGTCGCTTGGACGAATGAGAGGCCGCGACTGGAAAGCCTGTTGAGCCCAGGTTGGATGCTTAGTGAATACAAGAAGAAACCCACAGAAAATGGACAAAGCGAGATAACACAAACAGCTTGATTGGTTTACTTGATTCTACATAAGCTCGTTTGATATTTGTAACATCATTTCCAGCAGCACCCTTAGAAGAACACTCTAGGTTAAGGCTTGACCAGAGAGAGGACTGCCGAGTTGTGTGGGAGAAGTGATGACAAGAGGATTTGGCGAGTTTTTCGCCGACAGACTTCACAGGAGGAACAAGAAACTAAGCTGAAGATGACGGATGAGCTTAGAGATGGTTTGCTCGACCCGGCCAACCAGACACTCGGCTTTAACATGTTCGGAATGGGGAAGATACCTTATGGCAGTGAGACCTGTGGCATGTGCGTTTTTTTTTGACTCAGGAAGCAGCTGCTTGCAAGAACTAGTTTGCTGTCTGCCACCTTAGCAGAGGAGACATGTTCGATTGCTTCGGGCAAACACGCGCGCACACTCACACACACACAAAAATACACATGCAGGTGCGGTAGCATGCCAAAACTTGAGTGTCTCCAGGATGGCCAGGTAGTGCTTCGAGCTCCTTCAAAGCAAGCTCTCAAGGACCATAGAAGCATCACCTGTGAAACGATGTTGGGCGTGTTGGTTGCCCAATGTGGATGACATCTTCAGGATGCCATGTCGATCTTGGCTCGAGTTGCGCATCATTGCTGCTTGGCTTCTGGATTTTGCCACCATCCATGGTTACTGCTTCATATTTTAGTACCCTAGAAATTGGTCACTCATGCCATGTTTGTTGTCACCGATTCAGGACGTCTCCGGTCCAAAACTCTGCCATCCATCCAAGGTCAGTGGGGCTGCAATCCGACCAAAGTAGGATTGCTCCTGCGCATCTTGGCTGCGATGACTTACAGATGAAAGAGTTTGACACCATCTCTTGTCCGGGTTTGACAGGAGGTGTTTCTTGGAACACCCCGTTACCAGATGTTACCAGTTGTATCATGTTGTATCCAGTTGTTTGCGTTATAAACGAACGAAGGGACAAGACTCTTCCGGCTCTTTTTCCTGCTTGTTTGTATGGTTTGCTTATCATGCCATTCAAATTGACCTTTGACTTTGGGAGGGTTTCGCCACAGGCTGATCCAACCTTCTACAAGCCATCCAAACCTGCAGGTGAAAAGCCCGACAAGCCGGTTCACACGGTGGTGGTGCGACTTGCTGCCACGTCCAGCCGCATGTCCACGCAGGAGACGTGACCAGCGATGGCAGGGGTGGGTTCTAGTCCTAGTGACTGTTTTTTCGATGGCAGCAGGGGACCTGAAGCACTTGATTGCAACAGATGTGCCAAGTGGATCTTGGAAGTCTCTAGAACTTCAAGCATGCATCTATTTCAAAGGAAGTGCCAGCTGCAACAGCTCTGCAGCTCTGGCTTGGGATACTGCAAGGGTGCGGTCAAAAGCAAGCTGGCTACTAGTTGGCTCAAAGAGATGGATCTGAACACTCACAAATCATGATCTTCTGTCAGGAGGGCCGAGTGAATCAAAGGCTGGAGAAACTGCGAGTGGGCACGGACTCGGCTCAGTGCCAGGCATGGGACGTCGTTTTTTCGGGAGCAACTCGTGATGTGTTGGCAACTCGTAGGGTTCCTGTGGATGTCATAGAGATCCCGTCAATGGGACCAGAAAGATCCAGAAAGTCTCCGAGGGAGTGGCCCATCTCCATTGAAAGTATCGTTTTTTTTTCATGTTCTTTCTACTCTTTTTTTGGCGATTCTCTTTTGGATGACTATAGTCACTGAAACTCCTGGTTGATGTCATTTTTCTGAAACTCGCACCAGATCACTGTCGAGCCGATCGCTGGAATCTCCCGGAAGCATTTCACCATCACCTTCGAGCACGACAAGGGCGGCTGTTGCTTGGGCGGCAATCGGTCCTGTTCCGTCCGATGGTTGTCGCAGACAGAGACGCTTGTAATGCGTGAGAACCGTCTTAGGCCCTAACGGATGGTCTGTCGGTGAGATTCGCCATTGACCACACCCCAAGTGCCACACGTATGGAAGAGCATGGTTGAGTCTTCCCTTTTTTTGTTGGCAACTAAGCACTGATCTGGACCTGCCGTGATGTTCAAGGCACTGTTGAACGAACATGGAGAAAGCAATTTGAACCACAAAGCTGAGAAACGTACGTATAGCATGGTGAATATTTAAAGCTCTGAACCTCCCACTAGTCCTGAAACAATAGCACCAGCATGATATTGTGCTAACTGTTAGATCTGCAAGAAAACATACCAGAAAAGAGAACAAACAACACTCCTACCCTGGGATTCTTAGTTTTTAGCTGTGCCACCATGGGCTGCTGCTCCAGCAAAGCCAAGCCCAAGAAAGAGCCGCCCAAAGAGCCGGAACCGGAGAAGCTCAAGTCGCCACCCTCGGAGAAGGAGATCACAGTCTCCAGGTCAAACGCCACGGCCGGAGGTTGGCGGTGGGATGCTACCTAGATAGCAGATTGTAACATGTGGATGGGTCAAAACCCGGAACACCTACCCAGGGACCCTGCTAGGTTGAGCTTCCAGGGTAGGTGGACCAAGGTATCCTGGTTTTTGATCCACAGACATATAGTGTCAGTGTGAGTATGTCAAAGTATATTATGTGTTTGGCATTTTTGTTGAGTATGTCAGGATATGTCAGGTATGTTACGGTATGTTGATCTTTCTGCGTGGGCGTGGGTTTAATCGGTTTGAGGAAAGAGGCATTGTTGACTTTCGTTTGAAGACAGAGATGTGGGAAGATATGAAGGCTTATGAAGACTTGCAGCTTCAAGCTTCAATTTGTTGCATCTCATGGTGCAGTAGATATATAGCCTGTGCCTGCTGTTGTCTTTGGCATGTTTGGCTCCTGAATATTGGTGATTTGCAGGAGCCAGGAGGATCACCTAGACCCTCCGGACTCTTTGAATTGGAGGACACCACCCCTCCGTCACTGGGCAGAGCTTTCGTTCCGCAAACGGTGGAAACACCAGAGCTGAACGGTGCATGAAGGGATGTGAAGAAACTCCCATTGCAACCGTTGTCAGCTGCACACCCCTAGGCCTGCCACTCCGTCAGTTGACTTCAGGCACGAATACAACATATGTGTGGACTGCGTATGTTTGGAAGATGTTCTTTGAACTGCTGTGCTTTCATGCACCGCAGTGACACACTTGAGAGGATAGGACTGGGAGCCTCCTTCCCGAACTTCGAGTGTCGTACCACGCACGGCCTCTTGGAAGGCAATGGGAACGTCTTAAGAGAGAGAGAGAGAGAGACGTTGTTATTTTTAAACAAATACGACAAGCATTGAACTGGCCCAGTCCTTCAGCATGGAATCGCTGCAGTATATGGCATACTTGTGGCCATATATGGCATATCAGGTACCTTCATGTTTCATGACTTCTTGGAGAAGCAACACCCACAGGGCTGGACGATGCTTTTCTCGCATCCAAAGGACAAGAGGGATTTGAGGTGAAATTGACGGACTTTCGGTGTGACGCAGGATGTTCGGAAAAATGATAGATTTGAACTGAACAGATTGAAGAGATGCCCTAGCCTTGTTACGTTCGTAGCTTCTTGCTACTAGTAGTAGTGCCAGGAGCTACGAACGTATCATCTAGCCCTTGTTAATTGAAGAGATGAAGAGATGCCTGGAAGGACTTCACTCCTGTTTGCACCACAGAGATCGGTACCTGTCAATCCATGCTGCGGGACTTCAAGCGTCGAGATGCCGGGATGCTTAGTCCGCGAGGAATTCATTCACGGGTTCAAAGACCCGGATCCTGTCCGCTTGATGATCCATGCGCCAAGCAATTTCTGAACGAAATTATTGAACTGCAGTATTGTAATAGTAGTCAGACTGTCACTTGATGTCACTTGGAGTATCTTGTAGTTTCATTTTAAGCAAGTGGAACAACCCAGACTTGGGGTCATTCTTTGGGTATAGTATAGCGGCTAGCGTCCAGCAGCATCAACGATCCTCCGCCACTGATACGTCGAAGTACTCTCGTCTATACTAAGCTCCGGTCATGTCCAGGTCACACCTACCGTCTGCACCGTTACCACCGTCCAGTCAGGGTGAGACTTGAGACGTCCACCGGACCGCTTTCGACACGAACTCCACTGGACGAACGGAGTTCCGATGGAGCCGGGACCGAGCTGACTCTCCAGGTGCAACTCATCGGATTGAGTTGCGATTCGGTGGATCAGCACAAGGCATGGACCAAGGACCTGCGGACCAAAATAAACCGCGTGCCTTTTTTATTTCTTGCTCCGGGCTTCTTCGCGTCGTGGAAGTGGTGAAGAAGGAGAGAGAGGTCCTGAGTCCTAAGTATATAAGTCTCAAGATGTCTCAAAGGAGATTCGGAAGGCTGACGTCGTTTGGGTTTGTGGCAGGGAAGTCGTGCAAAGTCTTCATTTTGGTCCTTGTGTTTCTGGGTGATCCTATTTTTCCGCCTTTGATTGAAGCTCTTGGATCAGCTGGATCAGCTTTGATGATGGGGGTGTATACAGATCCAGGGAGAAGGTCTGAGCCGATGCGCGGAGGACGTGCTGCACGTTCAAGATCACCCTTCACAGGAGGACTTCTGGGTGGTTTTGGAGGAAGACATCATGCAGGCCTTAAAGCTCCTCTAGAGAAGAACAGTGATACTCGCCTTTTCTATCTTCATTATATTTAACATATTAATATGGCGAATAGTATTTTTGTATGGTATTTAGAAGAAACGCCTTGGAGAGAGACCTTTTGCTTGAGATGCATTGACACCGTGAATGGCATGAAGAGTTTGTTCAGTTGGTCATGAACATATGTCGTGGTATGACTCCGATGGCTCGGCTCCAGTCTGGGCGATTTGGCGGGCTCCAGGACTTGGATTTTCCCTTAATCGCAGATGAGACTCGTGAGATCGCCCAGATGCTTGGAATGTTGGCGCCTAGGCAGCGATGGAGGATCGAAACCTCTTTATTTTTTTCGTGACTCACTTGATCCGGGATCAAGTGGATCAAGGGGCAAAGAATGTCGAACATGTAACATGTTTGAGAAAACCGTGAGGGTTGCCCAACAACGAGGAAGTGTTCATCAAACCATTTTCATTGATGTTACACCCTTGTGCATCCACCATCTCCAACCATTCGTAAACCGAGGACCCCAAGGACCACAGGCCTCCGTACGGCCTCCGTAGACCGTCTTTGTCCCTCCAAGGATCCGCTGGAGATCTGCGAGATCGACAAGATTTCAATGCCGGCAAGAGCCTTGTTTTTGATAGGCGGGGGTGGGGGAGAAATGAGACATGGAAGAGCATGATACTTGATACTGGACAACTACAGGAGTATGACAAAATATGACATAAATTGGAAGTGTTTGAATGAAGTTGGATTGCAACAACCAATAAACCAATTATAACTATATATATATATAGCTACCATAGATTTACCATAGACCATAGGCTTTACTGCTAACATCATAGATAGAACCCATGGCACTCACGGCTTGATATCCACCCTCTCTATCCCTCTCTTTTTTTCTGCATGTCTCACTTGGATCCACGTCTCCCATCCTGGGCAGGTCCGGAGAAGCGGAACTACTTGACCATTTTGTACCCAGCCACCACGGGCCGGAACTTTCACGAGGTCCTGCGGGCCATCGATTCCCTGCATCTCACTAACGCCCTCGAGGCGGCGGCGTCCTTCTTTTTTCGGCCGGCTCCGCCTGGGCTGTGGAGGGACAGAAAGGGTGAGGGCGACTTTTGGGGTGGACTGGTTTTGGTGTGTTTAGAGCACTGGTGCACATCATGTTGTGTTTTTTTTTCACCTGTTCTAAGTACTAGTATAGATATTGAATAATGTACTGTAGACTGCAGATACACGTTCGTTTTGTTGAAGCGGAGGAACCCATTGTTTGGGCTGTATTTCATGTCTGCCATGGCACGTGAAACGTGTCGTTCCGTGTCGTTTGCAACACCTGTCGAGTCTTGGAGGTGGGGACGCCAGCAGACTGGCACCCCAACGGGAAAGTGATGCCAGCCGTCAACGTGGGAGACAAGTTTGGGGCGCCGGAGGAGCAGATGGTGCAATCGGGCCGACGTGCCTTGGCAGGGTTCGTTCCATTCTTTTTGTTTTGGTTTCGTGGATTTGTTTCCAGATTTGAAGATATTTGAAGGCTTTGCAGGAGCCAGTGGAGTTTGATCCAAAGTGTACAACTGTTTGCAACATAAAGTTTCTTAAAGCTTTTAGAAGATGGCTAGGCTTTGATTTGGTGCCTTTGTGGTGTGCTGGAAGGAAAACATGGTCATCGACTTTCTCTTTCAACAGATGTTTGTGACGTTTTTTTTTTCTCCGAGGATACATGCGATATGTGCCCCAGCCCGTTGTCCACACACCACAACGACTTCGCCCCTATGAGGATGCTGCTTGCATTGGTAGGGTCAATGGCAACTCTTTCTGATCAACGAAGGAATACGAAGGATCAGCGGCCCAAGTAGTTCTGACATCGAACCTTTAAAAACGAGTAAATGAGTAAATGAGCTGGTCAGTGATAGACTTCGAGTTGGACTGCGTTTGTTGATTTTTTCCAAGTCTTTTGAAGTCAGGCTCTGGTGTTTGGTGTCACAGGAAGCTCTCTGAGCATCTCAGCTACCACGCTACTAGCGGAGTCTGAGGTCAGACCGAGTGAGAGGGACTTCAAGATCAAGCCACTGCCTCAGATGAGGTTGCAGCTTCGAGTGAGTTCGAATGGTGCCGCAGCGACCAACGTGACTCTTCGATCTCTTCGATCCCACCTTTTCTTCACTTGGCAGCAACCAACGTGCCGTGAACAGATCTTGAAAAGGTCCACGCATTCAGTGATTCGGTCCATCGAACACTTTTGATTCGGTCCGTTTTCTATTTAAACACCAAGCTCGGTCCGCTCATGTGAGGCCAAAAGAATGTGGAAAACACTGAGGATACCATAGGATACCATTTTTTTCTTGGTCAGATTCATCCAATATCATCCAATTCTTCAATCCTTTTCAATTCCAATTGGATGTGCCGAACGCCCACGCGAACGCCCGCCCAAACGCCCGGGCAAGCCGCCAGCGCTCCTTCGAGGCTCGGGGCGAAGTTCCCGGACTTTGACTGGAGCGCCACGAAGCAGGGCATCAATCGATTCCACCAACTCTTGGAGCGCTTGAAGGCAGAGAGCACGGTGCCGCGCGGTGAGAGCAGTGGAGAGTAGCAGTGCCCACTAAAGGCAGATGCCAAGATCAAGCAATGAAGTGGACAATGTGGTAGACTTCGAGATTCGGAGTGTAGACAGATGATGACTTTAAGACTTGAAAGTGACATGAACTGAACTTGACAAGTCGCTTTGTCCTGTTTTTGCCCAACTTCGCGTGCTTTGGCCTCAGGGTGATTTGACGCTGATGCCACTTGGTCGCACAGTTATGATGCATCCTACTTACATCTGTGTACTTTTAAAAGGCGACTTCCCGACTTGTCATGGCCAAGCAAAGTCCCCTGAAAAGCCTGGTCTACGACCTTTCCCTTCTGTTGCCCGGTTGCCAAGCTCCCTTGCTGTCAATTAAACCTGTCGAGAAGCATCGTCGAACACATATGTTTGTGAGTGAGAAACATGGCCCAGTAGAATCAGCAAATCACCGCGGTGTTCGCACGAAAAGGGGGTCATAAAACCAGGGGGTTCACCTATTGGTTCCAGAAAGGTAGTGACTGTCGTCATCTCAGCAGGCCACCTTCTGCCACCCAGGATTTGCTGGCCGCGGAACTTTGATCCGATTGCGACCTCTGAGTTGCTGAAGTGTTTGAAGCACCTACCAGAGCTCCGGCAAAGGAGGGTCAGCTTGCGCCCTGGCAAGTGTTCAATTCTTTTAGTTTGTTGGCTTTCCATGTTTGATGCCTTGGCTGCGTTGGTGTGCTTCGGTGGCTTCATGTCAGTGTGGCTTCTGTGATGGTCTTTGGGAGTTGTTAAAGGCTTTCGTGTCGGGACTGGAAAGCACCAATAGAGTTTGGAATTTGCAAGCGATTGTCGCGGTTTTCGGGTGGGGGGATTGGCATATGCTTGGGTGATTGGTTTAGTCATGGAGGGAAACCGGTTCCGAACCGAGTTTGAGCAAAAAAACGTCCTCAAAAAAGAAGGTCTCTTCGTTTGCCCACGTGTGTCGCGAGACGTGTGTCGCGTGTGTCTCCAAACAGCGGTGGATTCTTGGGGTGGTGTTTCCACCGTGAGAGCCTCTTGGAGAGTGAGGGTCGTGGTTGGAGAGATGAGGGTCCCGGCCGAATCAGTTTGAAGCAACATTTGATTCTTTCAGGCACAATGTCATTTCGGTGTGTATTAGAATGGGAGACCCCTCAAAGACCTCTGGGAAAATCAAACACACTAAATCTATTGGTTGGGAGGTTCCCGTATTAGAATATAAACCCATTTTGCCGGATCATTGAACCAATTGTGTTTAACAGTTTTACGATTTCTACATTGTAAGGAATCTTAATGTGCATGTAGGGTACTGCTTCCAGTTGCAGTTATTGCATGCGCTTGCCTTTTTACTGACTGTTGGCAACTTGAGGATTGGTATGACATGCGACCCGGTGGAAAACCTGCAGCAATGGGTCAAGGATGCTATAGAGCTAACTGGATCCAGTGACGAGGAGACGGGATTTACCATCATTGCAGACTCTTGGCTTGGCAAAGGCAAAATCCGAGACATTTGGGAGGTGGCTGTGAAGGCTCCACAAGGATGGACGTGTATTCACAACGGGAGACTTGAGCATCAAATCTATAGAAATCAAATCTCGCGATGGGGGAAGGTCCTTTACCACATATGACAGGCCTTGCTTGCTTGTTTTGACAGAGATGGTGGCCAAGGACAGAAATCAGCACATTGCCGTGGAGCTTGGTGCTTTGACTGCAACTGGTGACAGCAAAGAAGATGGGCACCACACGACAGTAGGGGCAGAGATGGGGCAGTTCGTCCAGTGGCTCTCTACATCGAGAAGTTGATTGTTGTAGACACTGGACGAACTTCACATTCACAGCAGTCAGACTTGAACAGTACCCACGTATTGACTTGATCCGAATCCCACGAATTTGAATGGCCACATCTCCTTCTTGGTTAGGATATGTTAGGAGACTATTTTGTCTTGCTTGCTGTTTGCATCACTGATATTGCTTGGGACTGTCTTCCTCTCGCCTCACTTGGCATGATTGAGGCTTCCTTCCAGAAGCCAACCGCGATGCGGACAAACACCTCTCGTTGGCCCGCGGCCTTTTCGTCATCGGAAAAGACAAGACTTTACGTCTCAGCGGCTGGGCGGAAGGAGGATTGTGAAAAAGGGTTGTTTGAGGTCTTCAAAGGTCTTGCGTTGGCAAGCGAACTTGGGACTGTCGGTTGTTTCCTCATTTTTCTTTGGAACTGCTTTGGAACTGGTGCGCAAGAGAAGTAGTTACAGCATATAATAACTCTTTGGGCAACCTCCAATTGGTTGGTTGCATAGATTCTCCCACCAACTAGAGTTTGAGGAGACATGCTGCTAGGATATGGTTCAGACAGGGGATGCAGCAAAGATTTGACCAAGGCATGCAATATCCGATGACCACCGGCATGAATTTCCTCGAGGTCCTGCGTGGGATCCTCAAGTTCAGACTGGTCGTGTTTGTTTCACCTAGTTGAACTGTAGCTTTGGCAGACTGGTCTTGGAATCAACAAGTCTGTGAACATGATGTCCTGTTACATGCCAGATGTGCCCACCCAGCTAGCCAGCTAGCCACTCAAACCCAAGCCAAGAGGCTTATGTGGAAGAACGTGCAAGTTGACGCACTTTGGTGTTCGCTTGAGGTGTCTTGGACTCCTTGATCCTGACCAAGGACGGGATATGCTGCAAGGGGTAACTATCATCCTTAGAATCAAACAGGTTCGAAAACACAAGCCTTCCTCAATTGGTTGTTGGATTCTTCTACATGTCGCAGGATTGCACCTAACAGTTGTCCAGACTTACCCATTTTGAGGAGCACCATGTAGCTACTCCTGCCAATTGGCAGCAAAATGAGAGGCTGATCCTGGACCCCAAGGCAGGGTTTGTGATGTTTGTGGCGTTTGCAGTGGCTGTCATGAGGATTCATGAGGCCAGCAGCTAACCAAACATTGATTCCTTCCTCTAGCTATCAGGGTTTTCAGTATCTGAACAAGGGAAATGCATTTAGAAAACGAAGGGTTGACCGTCTCGAGGCATTTTTTCGGGGCGAAGGGGCCCTGCACCAAGACAGCCGTCCGTGCGTTGTGCGAACTCACGCGGCGGAGGTCTCCAGAACGGATGCCAACAAGTTTACCAATCTGCACACCCAAGCGGTGCCCTCGAAAAAGGAGTACCTCAGGCGCGGTTTTCTGTGGGGTACTTGCAGTATTTTCTAGTCAACAATTGAACACGCTTTCGTCCTTAGAAATTTCGTTCTTTGGTCCATCTCTCCAAAGTAGTGACGTCAAGCTCTCTGAACACCAAAAAGCACTGAAGATGATCTGGACTGCCATAACCGGCTTTGCACGCATTTTCCATCGGCACCTTTGGACTGCCAAGGTGGGTGGATTGCCCCAGACTGCCCTGGTTCAAGGAAGAGGCCTGGTGGTGCAGCGGAGTTCTGTGTGGCCCAACTCAGTCCAACACGGCCGTACAGGTGCCAACCTTCACGGCTCCGGAAGCTTTGCTGGACGGTCAAGAATGGGAACCTTTGCCGCCGGTGAGCAAGGCGCGACCTCGTCCAGGAGGAAAGACGTCGCAGTCGCACTAGTTGTGGTGCACGAAGAAATCCTGAAAACATTACTATATAGATTGATTGACGGATAATCTGTTCATCTAGTTTGTAGAGGTTTGAATCAGAAGGGCCGCGTGATTGCAGACTTGCTACAGAGTGTTAGAGTTTCTTAGAAAGTCTTTTCGATCCATAGCTTGTCAGCAGAGCTGCAACTGCAGTGGCAGTGTCATACTGCTAGAGAAAGCAACAAATGATTTTTGATGGCTGACGCACACAAACCCGACACACAATCGCTAATGGAGTGGGATGTTATGCAAAGCTACACATGACATGACATGGCGACCCACGTGCATGCAGTACTACCTCATGAGCATATTAGTACTACACACATCAGTCACTTGGAACATCTTGGAACAGACTCGGATACTCACGAGGCTCAAAATGAAATCCGTGGAAGAGACCCGCCGGAAGACAAAAGTGACACTTGGCTGAAAGAAGACACGTGCCATCTCCTTCGGGGTCTCCACAGAACTTCTGGACTTGCAGAAGCTATGCACCGGCTGCTGTGCTTGCTGTGCTCGCCTCCAAACAATGTGCTTCTCGAGGTTTGGTGCATGATGTGTTCCTGTGGCAACTGAAGATCGATGAACAAAGAGAGAGTTCTCAAAACGAGAGCCGAGAAGCAGCACGAGCCCAGTGCACCTCAAAGCAGGTGCCCGTGGCCGAGCGATGAGAGTGTTTCAGAGGGTAGGCATTTTATGTTCGAAAAGTGGCGCCATGCGGCAGAGCGGATGCAGGGTGCTGCTTCTTTTTGGGGGGCTCAATAGAAAGGAAATGAAAAGAATGCTAAATTGGGCAGAAGCTGCAGACAGAACAAAAAAGAAGCAAATGGTTTATGACATGAACATGAGATAACATTAGCATGTCAAACCGAGATGATCGAGAAGTGTGGCCATGATGCCACAGTGGCAGACCAAACCGAGGTTATGTTCAGGACATGTCGACCAACGGCACACGCCTGAACGGCAAGAGGTTGCCGAGACCGCCCTATAAGCACCCAATGGCTTCTCAGCTGAAAAACTGGTGTTGTGACTTCGATGATTTGCTTGAGGTTATAGAACAAGGCCATGGAGGCAAACGTGATGGGTCTGCACTTTTGGTATATCAAAAATCAGACATGCATCGATCTACAGAGCAATTCGGGTCCGACAGCCCCATGCATGCATTGATGTTGCCGATGTGAAAATCCGGATGATCCCGTTTGTTCCCTCATCGGTTGGGTCTCCGAGGATGCCCGCGTCCGCATCTTCCACGGAGATGAGTTGGTGTTGGCCATCACCCCCGATGGAGAAGAGCTGGGCTTCGCAGATGCCTCAATCAGCACAACACGAAAACAGGTGTGGAGTCGGCTCTATGGAGATGTGGAGTCGGCTCCAAGGAGAATTCAAGCATATTCAATGAGGCTTTGGACGTTTGAGGTCAGAGCTTTGTGCTTTTTTCTCGCTCGTCATTCGAGGTGGTCAATCTTCTGGAGTCCAGAGCTGAGTCATTTCAAGTCCTGCTCGACGATGAACGCCGCAAGAGCCGATGCCATGGGCCAATAGCTTTCTCTCAGTGTTTGCTTTTTAAGGCTGAGTGGCTGATCGATGCCTAGAGAGGCTGCGTTGCCAGCTGAAAGGAGCTGTAGAGGTGTCTTTTTTTCACTGCCATAAATAGTCGTGGTCGTGGTGAAGCAGTGCTCCACATGGTGAGTGCGGTATTGTCGTCCAATGTTGTATGATGATGTATGTGCACGGTACTTGAAGTCGGTCCAATTTTGCAACGATCCTTTCGGCAGTGGCGAACGAACGTCTCACGTGACGCGGAGGTTACGAAAGGTTCTAGGGTGCGACTGGCGAGACGTTCGCACGCCAAAAAAAGAAAAGGAGCTGGCCAAAGCGTTCAGGATGTAGAAACAAGAAGCTATTAGTAACAAGTGCATCGCTTCTAGTAACAAGTGCCTTACTAGTAGTAACAAGAAGCCTAAACAATAAGCTACTAGTAACAAAGTGCAATGGTGACTTCAGGGATTGAAGGGACTTCAGACATCTGCTGGAAGGAGAGTCTTTCTGAGACGTCTGCTGATGGTTTCGTTGTTTGAAACCAGCAGCCACCAGTTTGCCGTGAGGTGACTAGAGTTGATCTTAGTCAGGTGATGGGCGAATGGCGTGTTTCATGGCCCATACCCTCGCGGCGACATCCACCGCCAGAGGCCAACAACGATGACTTTAGGGTTTTCCAATAAGTTGATGCATCGATTCTTGATGATTACTTATCTATGAATGGCATGATGAAAGCACTCGGTCGTGGCGAACGTTCAGTGGATGGTGAGCACATCCCGTGCTGAATCGGTTGCTCGATGAGTCAGAGCAGAGCATCGCCATCGCCTGCTGCAGGTGCTCGGCCATTCGATGAATGCCATGTGCTCATCGGATGCATGGACTGCCATGGTGCGAAAAGGGTCGAACTGGACATCATTTGGTGCCTTTTCCAAAAACATCAAGGTCAAAGTGGCCAAGGCATGCCAAGGCAAAGGGTTAAAACGATGACGTGCAGAAGTCGGCAAAGGATCCAGAACATGTTGGAGCTGTGCTTCCGTCACCTGCTCAAGGTTCCCAAGCCTTGTGAATTCCTCCAACGCCTTGCATATATTCTGACCGTGACACATCAAAATCAAAGGGACGGACCGTCGGACCCATTGATCAGGACATTAGCATCTTGACATTAGCAACTTCCTTGAATTCCGAACGGCAAGCCGTTCTCGCGTGTTGAACCAAGGATTCAAGTTGGTGTTGAGTGTTGACATACTGTGACATACTCAGAATCAAAGCCATGGAAGAGACGGCGGAGGATGCCGTGGATATCCCAGTTGGCACTGAGACTGCTGGAGGGTCAGAGCCATCACAGGCTGGTGCCAGAGTTCCTCAAGACAGAGATACATCCTTTGTTCTAGAGCTCAAAAAAGTTAGAAGTCATCAGGTGGAATTGTGGTGGTGTAATGACATTGATTACTTGACTTGAGGTGCTTTGAGCAAAAGCCAATTGATAGCTTTGAAAGGAACCTAGGTGGAGCGTCTTCTTGACTTCATGGTATAGGTTCTGTTCACCCATGCGCAGACCAAACGCGCAGGCGGAAGAGCCTGGCACTGAAGAGCCCGAAGCAGGCGGAAGTGCCTGGCATTGAGTTTGAATATGTTTGAATCAACATTCAGATCATTCAGCAATCAGAAAAGCAGAGATTCCATCGGGTTTTCGCCGTTCGCCCTCCAAATTTACTGGACCAAAACGAAGTCGATGAACACCCGAAATCGACCGGCTGCGAAGCTTCCCTGTAGCTTCCAGGTGACGGCGAAGCGGAGGAGGCCAAAGTGGGGGCCTCAAGCGGTTTTAGCATGTTCGCACATCTTGAACAATGATACTGGCACCGAAACAATCATTTCAATATGATGACAAATCGATATCAGATGGGTCATATGTTGAAAGAACGTGTGTTGATCCATGTAAGAACATCATATTGTTGATCCCATGTAAGAAAATCAACAAATCTGTCGCCTGTCACCTGCATTTGCTCGTGTTTTTTGGTTCACCTGCTGTCGCCTTCGGAGGGTCTCCCCCGAGCAGCCTCCGGCCCCACAGGAGCCGGTGGAACCGCCTGACGAAGAGCTGAGTGGAGCCGGCGAGGCCGTTTCGTGGACTGTTAGAGGTGGCGAGGAAGAAATCAACATGAGGTTTAATCCAAAGAAACTACAAAAAGATGTGTGAAAGGCAACTGTTTAACCCCTTTGTCATGTTTTTGGTGTTCTTAATGCTATTTTGTTTTTGTCAGACCAGTATTTAGTTGTATTACTTTGTATGTTCTCACACCTGACTGGTATGGAGAACGACGTGGTTTGAGTTGCTTCTTGCACATGAAAGGTGGATGAACTTCAAATGGTTCCACAACATTTTTTATACATACTGCATCCCGACAATGGCATTCTGGTGCTGAATATGATAAAGCCATGTGTTTGGCGGTTCAGCCAATGAGTTCACTGGTGAGGTTTCACCCCCAAACCACCAGCGCTTGCCAGGCTCCAGCGTCTGAGGTCGCACAGCCCGAGTCGGTTTGGGAACCGAGGAAACGGCCCACGTCACCGGTCTGGGACCGGCGACCGCTCGGCAACGTACGAGCGCTCGGTGACCTGTTTCAGGGTGTACCATTTTAAAAGCTGTATAGAAGATCGTGAAAGAAATATGAAGAAGTAAACGGTAAACAGGTCAAGTAGAACACATATATTTTCGTTATTTTTGCTATCATGATTTTTTTTGCCTACCAGGCTGGTGCTACGACCTTTCATTGGCCACCAGAATTGCCAGCTGCAGATCTTCAAGAACTTCAAGGCTGGACGTTTTGACCCGGATTTGCTGTGTGATAAATCCGGACGAAAACCATGGCAACACCAATCTATTGTTTTTGCTCGAGGCCATATCAATCGTTTGATTGATATTGTTGTCATTTGGTGTTTTCGGTTGGGAGGTATGCATTCTCGCTTGCAAACATGAGGAAGATGCAGATGTCAACCAGGCCAACCACCTCAATCTGCATGGCCATGGGTTGGCTCTGCACCTTCAGAGTTTAAAGCTCGGGCCCCAAGCCAGAGGAAAGGACTCCAGTCGTCAGATTCTGGCAGATCTTCGCCTCTTCCGTTCAAAACAGATCCGTCAGGTACTTGATGTCGGCATGTGTCGATGATGCCACACCCAGAGACCCAGTTAGAAGGAAAGCTGCAGACACCAGACCGGACCGACCGATCGATGATTCGACCGATCCCTCCGGGGTGTCGACTGGGTGTCGACATCACAAACGATTTGCGGTCGCACTGAGTCTCCAAGGTCTGGGACGATTTCCGGACAGCCTTCAAGCAGTGAGCCCGGCCCAACTCACCAGGGCTAGGACTTGGAGTGGATGAAACAGGTTTTCAAACCTGCAGGAAACCAGGTTAGGCAGGTCAAGACGACATGACTCATGTGAGAACGAGGTACATGGTTCACCTTGCTGGTGAAGCACTCCAAAACGCGACACCCGAGGCTTCACCTTTTTGTGTTGTTTTCTTTTCTTTTTTTTCGTCGGAGTGTTGGCGTTCCGAAAGAAAACGCCCGGCTTTGTCAGGTGACATGTCTTTCTTTGAGCTGGATTGAACTGCTTGCAACAAAACTCTTTGAAGAGAGAAGGACAAGTGGCAGTCGTCTAGCCTTTGATTGATGAGACTGGAGGGATTGATGCATCTTTGAAGGCTTGGCTTTTGGTGATGCAAATAATGCAACCTCTAGGTTGTAAAGGTAAGGTTTTTGGCAAAGGAGGACCTAGGTAGCTCTGTGGGAAGATTGTTCAATTGATCAATGTTGGGTGTTTCCAAGCTAGGACCAGTCATTGCTCTTGTACTTTCATTGGGGAAATCTCAAAGATTGAATTGAAATGAGATGTGCACCTTGTTGGATGATCTGGCAAGCATGGTCAGATTTGTGTGGTGTGATAGTATGATGTGTGCTTTTGATACATGGGCACGAACCCAGAAATGTAACAATGTCTTTGATGCTGATGCTGCAGCAACTCAAAAGGCCTGTTTTGCTGGTAATGTAAATGATGCAACCTGCAGGTTGTCAAACCGCAGCCAAAACCAACTATATGACTCATATGACTATGTATGTATAACTAATGTAGTAACTAAAGTGACTTCTAGTTTTCCTGATTCCCAAGCCATCGGCATTGTCCAACTTCTCAGCGTCCTCCAGATGAGAGAGATGCCGAGGAGTCCACCCCCCTCCACCTGCCGACGAGTCCAACCCGCCCACGTCGGTCGACGTCAGTTGGACCCGCGCCAGCGGCAATTCGCCGCGGCGGCGCTCGGCGGCCATGGCAGCGGCAAGGCCGGCCTCAAGCACTGAGTCGTGTAGGGCATGAAAACCAAAAGGGTACAAAGCAAGAAAGGCACAAAGCCAGAAAACACATGTTGTGAAGATGTACGCTGTACATCACTTTTTGTACATGAAACCACATG